CGGGACATCAGCCACCTCAGACCATTTGTCCATTTTTTGACAAAAATCATCCAGGTCTTGTAAAATGGAGAATCAAAAGTGCCATTTTCTGCCTATTTAGAACCATTGTAGAGTTTGTGTTGGGGCCAAGCGGTGTTGCAGAAGAAAATAAGATGCTTACGTATTTAGGTCAGGTGAGAGCTGAAGAGGTTTTAAGTTTTTAAGAGCACAGCCTCTAAGGCTTCTGAGACAGGAGAAGGAATTTCACAAGGTAATGTCATCAGTTAAGGCAGGAACCAGCCACTTTCACTTCTTTTGTTATTCTTCAGTTACTTCAGGCCATCTGGATGTATACCTGCAGGCTTGGGCTCAGAGGCCTGACAACCATGCCCAGCTAATTTTGTATTTTTGGTAGAGACAGGGTTTCTCCCTGTTGGTCAGGCTGGTCTCCAACTCCCGACCTCAGGTGATCCGCCCACCTCAGCCTCTCAAAGGGAGAAGATAGGGGAATGGAGGGCAGAAGGTTGCCCGTAGTGAAGGAGGTAAATTTAAAGAGAAAGGTAGAGACATGGAGAAGGGGATGGTGAGCAGCCCTGGGCTGCAATGTGGGTGAGCAGCCAAAGCAGGTGTCCCCACAATTGACTTGCCACCAAGGGAATGTGGGTGAATGACCAAAGCAGGTGTCCCCGCAGTGATCAGACACCAATGGAGTGTGGGTGAATAATCAGGCAAGTGTCCCTGCAGTGATTAAACATCAAGGGAAGGCTGCCTTCCCAAGTCCGTGACTGGCACTGGAGTTTTGGGTCCATGGATAAAATGCGTCTCCTTTGTCTCTACTAGAGAGAAAAAAGAACTGGAATTGGAAGGACAGGGAGATTGAAGGGTAGCAAGAGAGAGAGATTTAAGGGTAGCAAGAGAGGCTGGAGAAGAGAGTGAAAAGACTGCTCATCCGATTTGAAATTCATGAGATATTCTTTGGGCTGGTTGGTTTGAGGACCCGAGGTCCTCATGGAGTGAGGGTGACGACAGCGGACTGGTCTCCCGAAGGAGTCCTCCTGTCCTGGGTTTTGGCACCAAATGTCATGCGTGTCCATGTGAAGAGACCACCAAACTGACTTTGTGTGAGCAACAAGGTGGTTTATTTCACCTGGGTGCAGGCAGGCTGAGTCTGAAAAAAGAGTCAGCGAAGGGAGATGGGGTGGAGCCATTTTATAAGATTTGGGTAGGTAGTAGAAAATTACAATCAAAGGGGGTTGTTCTCTGGCAGGCAGGGCCATGGCTCACAAGGTGCTCAGTGGGGGAGCTTCTGCGCCAGGAGAAGGAATTTCACAAGGTCATGTCATCAGTTAAGGCAGGAACTGGCCATTTTCACTTCTTTTGTGATTCTTAGTTATTTCAGGCCATCTGGATGTATACCTGCAGGCTTGGGCTCAGAGGCCTGACAACCACGCCCAGCTAATTTTGTATTTTTATTTATTTTATTTATTTATTTTTTGAGACGGAGTCTCGCTCTGTCGCCCAGACTGGAGGGCAGTGGCATGATCTCGGCTCACTGCAAGCTCCACCTCCTGGGTTCACGCCATTCTCCTGCCTCAGCCTCCCAAGTAGCTGGGACTACAGGCGACCGCCACCACATCTGGCTAATTTTTTGTATTTTTAGTAGAGACGGGGTTTCACCGTGTTAGCCAGGATGGTCTCAATCTCCTGACCTCATGATCCGCCCGCCTCGGCCTCCCAAAGTGCTGGGATTACAGGCGTGAGCCACCGCACCTGGCCTAATTTTGTATTTTTAGTAGAGACAGGGTTTCTCCATGTTGGTCAGGCTGGTCTCCAACTCCTGACCTCAGGTGATCCGCCCACCTCAGCCTCTCAAAGTGCTGGGATTACAGGCTTAAGTCACCACAACCAGCCGAACTTTTTTTTTTCTTGAGACAGAATCTCACTGTCACCCAGGTTGGAGTGCAGTGGTGGGATCTCTACTCACCACAACCTCCGCCTCCCAGGTTCAAGCGATTCTCCTGCCTCAGCCTCCTGAGTAGCTGGGATTAAAGGCATGCACCACCATGCCTGGCTCATTTTTGTATTTTTAGTAGAGACGAGATTTCACTATGTTTGCTACTCTGGTCTTGAACTCCTGACCTCAGGTGATCCTCCAGCCTCGGCCTTCCGAAGTGCTAGGATTACAGGCATGAGCCACCATGCCTGGCCTTCTGTGAACTTTTAAATACTTTTTCTTTTCTTTCTTTTTTTCTTTTTTTCTGAGATGGAGTTTCACTCTTCTTGCCTAGGTTGGAGTGCAATGGTGTGATCTTGGCTCACTGCAAATGCTGCCTCCCGGGTTCAAGCGATTCTCCTGCCTCAGCCTCCCAAGTAGCTGGGATAACAGGAAGGTGCCACCATGCCCAGCTAATTTTTGTATTTTTAGTAGAGATGAGGTTTCGCCCTGTTGGCCAGGCTGGTCTTGAACTCCCGATGTCAGGAGATCCACCCACCTCAGCCTCCCAAAGTGCTGGGATTACAGCCGTGAGCAACCGTGCCCAGCCTTAAATACTTTTTCTAAATATGTATATATCAAAAACCAATATATAACATTGTCATCTTGACAAATGGCAATTGTTATCACCACTCAGCACACTGGGAGGAGCAGGGAAGTTGTAACCAACTGGAATGTGCCCTATCTACATGAGCAGCTGTAACTTAATTTCAACATATTAGTCCCAGGCAGCTGGGAATTTTCTGTATCATTCGACTTTTTAAAAGAATTCACAGTCATAAATCTGGATTTTAAAATTTGAAGTAATCCAGTTTTTGTTTTTTTTTTTTGAAACAGTTTCACTCTGTCACCCAGGCTGGAGTGCAGTGGCACGATCTTGGCTCATTGCAGCCTCTGCCTCCCAGGTTCAAGCGATTCTCCTGCCTCAGCCTCCTGAGTGGCTGGTACTACAGGCATGCGCCACCACATCAGGCTAATTTTTGTATTTTTGGTAGAGACAGGGTTTCACCATGTTGGCCAGGCTGGTCTCAAACTCCTGACCTCAGGTGATCCACCTGCCTCCACCTCCCAAAGTGGGATTACAGGCATGAGCCACTGTGCTTGGCCAAGTGTTCCAATTTTTAAAGGTTGGCCAAAATGAAAATAAGGAGAACTCTCTATGTATAGAAGACCAAAGCCTTGAAACACATTGTTTATACATTAACAGAAGAATGGATACATTCTGCTACATTTATGCAAGGAAATGCTATGCAGCATTTAAAACATAAATGAGGCCGGGTGCGGTGGCTCAAGCCTGTAATCCCTGCACTTTGGGAGGCTGAGACGGGCAGATCATGAGGTCAGGAGATCGAGACCATCCTGGCTAACATGGTGAAACCCCGTCTCTACTAAAAATACAAAAAACTAGCCGGGCGCGGTGGCGGGCACCTGTAGCCCCGGGCGCCTGTAGTCCCGGCTACTCGGGAGGCTGAGGCAGGAGAATGGCGTAAACCCAGGAGGCAGAGCTTGCAGTGAGCTGAGATCTGGCCACTGCACTCCAGCCTGGGCGACAGAGCGAGACTCTGTCTCAAAAATAAATAAATAAATAAATAAATAAAATAAAATAAATGAACTCTAACACATGTATTAATGTTAATATGGATAAATGTAAAAAGTTTATTGAATAAAGTAAGTTGTAGAATTGTATCACTCTATGATATCATTTAAATAAAGTTGGAAAATATACAGGATATTATACATTGTTTTTGGATACATACATATTTAGGAAAAGTATTTAAAAGTTCACAGAGAAGATGCCCACCAAAATAAAATTGAAGCTTACATCTAGGAAAGGAGAGTAGGGAATGAGATGGGAAAAGGATCTATGGGAGCTTCAACTGTGGCAAAATGTAACAGCTAAAAAAGTTAAATGGTAAAGATACAGGTATTCTTTTTGTGTGTGTGTTTGGAGATGGAGTCTCACTCTGTCACCCAGGCTGGAGTGCAGCGGTGCCATCTTGGCTCACTGCAACCTCCACCTCCCAGGTTCAAGTGATTCTCCTGCCTCAGCCTTCCAAGTAGCTGAGACTACAGGTGAGGGCCACCACGCCCAGATGATTTTTTGTATTTTTAGTATGAGGTTTCACCGTGTTAGCCAGGACGGTCTCGATCTAATCTCGTGATCCGCCCGCCTCAGCCTCCCAAAATTCTGGGATTACAGGCATAAGCCACCGCACCTGGCCGATACAGGTATTCTTTACATTGTCCTTCATAAATGGCAGTGGGGAGCCATTAAAAGCATAGAAATAGGCACCAGACTGCCTGGGTTTAAATCTCATTTTTGCCATTTATTATCTTAATTTAAAACTCACTTAATTTTCCGGAATCTTAGTCACCCCTTCTGTGAAATGGGGGAGATATAACAGCACCTATTTAATGGGATTGTTATAAAGATTAAATTAATTCATGGTGGGAAGCTTATTAAGGGCAGCATGGTAGAAGTGATCCACCCCAGGGCATAGGTCAGAGAGGGGTAGGTTTGCACCACTGCACTCCAGCCTGGGCAACAGAGGAAGACTCCATCTCAAAACAAAACAAAACAAAATAAAACAAAACAAAACAAAACAGGCCAGGCACGGTGGCTCACACCTGTAATCCCAGCACTTTGGGAAGCTGAGACAGGTGGTTCACCTGACGTCGGGAGTTCAAGACCAGCCTGGTGAACATGGTGAAACCCTGTCTCTACTAAAGATACAAAAATTAGCTGGCTGTGGTGGCAGACGCCTGTTAATCCCAGCTACTTGGAAGGCTGAGGCAGGAGAATTGCCCAAACCCAGGAGGTGGAAGTTGCAGTGAGCCAAGATTGTGCCACTGCACTCCAGCCTGGGCAACAGAACAAGACTCTGTCTCAAAATAAAATAAAATAAAAAATTATAATATTATATAATAAATAATATATATTATATAATACTATGTAATATATATTATATTGATATTGCCATATTCCCAGGCAGACAATAAAATATATAATATATATAATATAGCCTCTCCCTCCGGCGTCCTCTCCTGGCCCTCTCGCACTGTGCAGTCTCTCTGACGCAAGACTGTCCCGGCCCGGATATGGCTTGTGGACAGCAGAAAATTCAGTTTCAGCAGAAAAATGCCAAAAAGCAAGCTGGACAAAAGAAGAAACAAGGACATGACCAAAAGGCTGCTGCCAAAGCTGCCTTAATATATACCTGCACTGTCTGTAGGACACAAATGCCAGACCCTAATACCTTCAAGCAGCACTTTGAGAGCAAGCATCCTAAGACTCCACTTACTGCAGAATTAGCTGATGTTCAGGCATAAGGTTGTTTACAGGTGAATTCATGACACCTTTGACTCTTCTACTGTCTCAGACCTTAGGTAACATACCTGCAGCTGCTTTTCTAACAAACTGTTGATCAGCAAAAATAAAGGGGCTACAGAAACACTCGTTTTTATGCTGTTCCCTTTTGGGCTTCATGCAAAGACAATTCTGTGTCAATGTACAGTTGACTCTGATTTGGAAATCTGAAAATCAGTCCATCTTTGTTATAAAAATTTTTTTACAACTGTAATTATATTGATGCTCATGTTGTATAAAATAACTCATTTAATAAAATAGTACTTTGATTTATGAAAAAATACATAATATAAACTATAATATTATATATAATATATAATATAATAAAAATAATAAAATAGGCCATGTATGGTGGCTCAGGAGGCTGAGGCAGGAGGATCCCTGCGTCCAGAAGTTCGAGCCAGTCTAAGCAACACAGGGAGACCCCATCTGGAAAAAAAAAAAAATTGGGCCGGGTGTGGTGGCTCACGCCTGTAATCCTAGCACTTGGGAGGCCAAGGCGGGTGGATCATGAGGTCAGCTGATCGAGACCATCCTGGCCAACATGGTGAAACCCCGTCTCTACTACAAATACAAAAATATATCTAAATAGATCTATATAGATATAGATCTATATAGCTCTCTCTTTCTATAGCTATATCATAGCTATATCTACCTCTGTATCTATATATAGATACATATTTGAGACGGAGTCTCACTCTGTCACCCAGGCTGGAGTGCAGTGGTGCAATTCTCCTGCCTCAGCCTCCTGAGTAGCTGGGATTACAGGCAGGTGCCACCATTCCCGGGTAATTTTTCTATTTTTAGTAGAGACAGAGCTTCACCATGTTGGTCAGGCTGGTCTCCAACTCCTGACCTTGTGATCCACCCCCCTCAGCCTCCCAAAGTGCTGAGATTACAGGCATGAGCCACTGTGCCCAGCCATAAATATATTTATATGTGTATATACACACATATATACACAAATATATAAATGTAATTTAAAAGCATTAATTTGTTACCTTTTTGTACCATAATATTGAGTTTTTTTTTTTCTTTTGAGACAGACTCTCACTGTGTCATCCTAGCTGGAGTGTAGTGGCATGATCTCAGCTCACTGCAACCTCCACCTCCTGGGCTCAAGCGATTCTCCCACCTCAGCCTCCTGAGTAGCTGGGATTACAGATGCACACCACCATGCCTGGCTAATTTTTTTTTTTTTTTTTGAGAAGGAGCTTTGCTCTCGTTGCTTAGTCTGGAGTGCAATGGCATGATCTCCACTCACTGTAACCTCCACTTTCTAGGTTCAGGTGATTCTCCTGCCTCAGCCTCCTGAGTAGCTGGGACTACATGCGTGCACCACCACGCCCAGCTAATTTTGTATTTTTAGTAGAGACAGGGTTTCTCCATGTTGGTCAGGCTGGTCTTGAACTCCCAGCCTCAGGTGATCCACCCACCTCGACCTCCCAAAGTGCTGGTATTACAGACTAATTTTTATATTTTTAGTAAAGACAGGGTTTCACTGTGTTGGCCAGGCTGGTATTGAACTCTGGACCTCAGGTGATCCACCTGCTTTGGCCTCCCAAAGTGCTGGGATTACAGGTGTGAGCCACCATGCCCGGCCATGAAATTCAATAAAGTAAAACTTTCACTGTTTCTTTTCTGGCCATGATTATTAGTCACTTCATTTCAGAATTATTGCTGACTATAATTTTGTTATGAAAGACAGAAAATATTTTAAAAAGGAGCTGCTCTGGTGGTTGAACCAGCAAGGTGTTCCACCATATCTAAGACACTTAGAACAACACCTGGCACACTGTGAGCACTAAAGGAGCAAAGGACGTGCCATCCCAAAATATGCCAAATTGGACTGGGCATGGTGGTTGTAATCCCAGTACTTTGGGAGGCCGAGGCAGGCAGATCACTTGAGGTCAGGAGTTCAAGACCTGCCTAGGCAATATGGCAAGACAACGTCTGTACAAAAAAACACAAAAATTAGCCAGACACGGCGGTGCTCATATATAGTCCCAGCTACCAGGGAGGCTGAGGCAGGGGACTCACTTGAGCCCAGGAAGTGGAGGCTGCAGTGAGCCATGATCCCACCACTGCACTCCAGCCTGGGTGACAAAGAGAGACCCTGTCTCAAAAACAAAAACAAAAACAAAATCCCAAAACTCCAAATATGCCAAATAGATATATCTATTATTGTGTTAAAAAGCATTAGAGAGGCCGGGCGCGGTGGCTCACGCCTGTAATCCCAGCACTTTGGGAGGCCGAGGCGGGCAGATCACGAGGTCAGGAGATCTAGACCATCCTGGCTAACACGGTGAAACCCCGTCTCTACTAAAAATACAAAAAAATTAGCCGGGCGTGGTTGTGCGCGCCTGTAGTCCCAGCTACTGGGAGGCTGAGGTGAACCTGGGAGGCGGAGCTTGCAGTGAGCCGAGATCGCGCCACTGCACTCCAGCCTGGGCGATAGAGCGAGACTCCGTCTCAAAAAAAAAAAAAAAAAAAAAAAAAAAAAAAAAAAAAAAAACAGCATTAGAGAGGCTGGGCACGGTGGCTCATGCCTGTAATTCAAGCACTTTGGGAAGCCGAGGCAGGCTGATCACTGGAGCCCAGGAGTTCAAGACCATCCTGGTCAACATGGTGAAACCCTGTCTCTACTAAAAATACAAAAATTAGCTGGACGTGGTGGTGCATGCTAGTCAGGAGACAGGGGCATGGGAATCACTTGAACCTGGAAGGCGGAGGTTGGAGTGAGCCTAGATTGTGTCACTGCACTCCAGTTAGGGTGACAGAGTGAGACCCCATCACAAAAAAAAAAAAAAAAAAAAAAATAGAGAAAGTAAAGTTTCGGAAACAATAAGCTGACCACTGTTTTCCTGCATGTAACAAGTGATGAGGATTTATCTGGAAAAGGTACCCTCTCCATATAAGAGCAAGAAAATAGCCTTTATCTCCAGAGACTTAAAATTAAAGGCTACAATGGACCTCTGTAAACATACTTCTCAAAGTTACCCTTACTTCCACCAGTTTGGCACTCCCCACCATTTATCGCCTAGTGACTCCCCTGAAAAATTTACTGCCCCAGACAGATTTTATTTGTCCTGTCATTTCTTCTCAAATGTATTGCTCTTTGTCTAAAACGTAAAAAGCATCTTATTTGACCACTTCTTCAGACTTCACTCTTTCGTGTAGACTCCCCCGTACATGTGAAACAAAGTTTGTACACTTTTCTCTTGTTAATCTGCCTGGTGTCAGTTCATTTTCTAGATTCAGCTCAAAAACCCGCTAAGAGTTAAAAGAGGGGCTGGAGGAGATCTCTGGGTCCCTTGCAGTGTAGCAGAATAATTTAGGAATCAAAGAGACCGAGGGGTTGAGGAGGATACTTATTATTTATTATTTTGGTGCATCGAACCAGTTGGATTTACATTCAAAGGACTGAGCCCCTAACAAGGAGTCAAGTTACCTTTTAAGCATTTTGTGGGGCGGGGGGAGATCTGTGCAGGGGGAAGCATATTACAGAAGAGAGAAACAAAGACAGTTATTCAGCTGAGACATGCATTACATCATTTCTTACTTTTCAAGGAAAAACATGTTTTACGACTTGAGTTTATCTGTCTAGTGACCTTGCAGCCACACAGCTAGAGAAACAGAGTCTTTACAATGCCTGGGAAAGGGAGAGATAAGGCACACTAGCCACAGACAGAGAAACAGGCAGTTAATTTTTAAAGGACTCTGGCTCTTTCTCTTCCTCAGGGGGAATTGGGTTTTTTTACATGCAACTGAGTTTTTGCTTACACATTCTTTAATTTCTTTTAATTCCTGTTCCAGAAGCACTATATAAGTGTTTGCTATTATACTTTTTTCTTTTTTTTTTTTTGAGACAGAGTCTTGTTCTGTTGCCCAGACTGGAGTGCAGTGGCATGATCTCGGCTCACTGTAAGCTCTGCCTCCCTGGTTCACACCATTCTCCTGCCTCAGCCTCCTGAGTAGCTGGGACTACAGGCACCCGCCACCACGCCCAGCTAATTTTTTGCATCTTATGGAGAAATAACCATAGCATTTAGCAACATGAAAGTCATTGATGATCTCAACAAGAACATTTTCTGTGGCACTTTGGTAAAGAAAAGGAGACACATGTGAGACAGTGCAGATAGATAATTCTTTTTTTTGTTTTTTGAAATGCAGTCTTGCTCTGTCACCCAGGCTGGAGTTCAATGGCATGATCTTGGCTCACTGCAACCTCTGCCTCCCAAATTCAAGTGATTCTCCTGCCTCAGCCTCCCCAGTAGCTGGATTACAGGGATGTGCCACCATGCCCCGCTAATTTTTGTGTATTTTAGTAGAGAAGGGGTTTTACTATGTTGGCCAGGCTAGTCTTGAACACCTGACCTCAGGTAATCTGCCTGCCTTGGCCTCCTACAGTGCTGGAATTACAGACTTGAGCCACCTTGCCCAGCTGATAATTCTTTTTTTTTGAGACAGGATCTCGCTCTTTCGCCCAGGCTGGAGTGCAGTGGCATGATCTTGGTTCACTGCAACCTCCACCTCCTGGGTTCAAGCGATTCTCCTGCCTCAGCCTCCCAAGTAGCTGGGATTACAGGCATGCGCCACCACGCCCGGCTGGCTACTTTTTGTATTTTTAGTAGAGACGGGGTTTCCCCATGCTGGCCAGGCTAGTCTTGAACTCTTTTTTTTTTTTTTTTTGAGATGGAGTCTCGCTCTGTCGCCCGGGCGGGAGTGCAGTGGCCAGATCTCGGCTCACTGCAAGCTCCGCCTCCCGGATTCACGCCATTCTCCTGCCTCAGCCTCCCGTGTAGCTGGGACTACAGGCGCCCGCCACTTCGCCCGGCTATTTTTTTGTATTTTTTAGTAGAGACGGGGTTTCACCGTGTTAGCCAGGATGGTCTCGATCTCCTGACCTCGTGATCCGCCCGTCTCGGCCTCCCAAAGTGCTGGGATTACAGGCTTGAGCCACCGCGCCCGGCCAGTCTTGAACTCTTGACCTGGTGATCCACCTGCCTCGGCTTCCCAAAGTGCTGGGATTATAAGCTTGAGCCACTGTGCCCGGCCAATTCTTTTGAGGAGTTTTGCTGCAGAGAAGT